GTGCTCAGCAAGTGTACCGGACTACCAGTTCCCTTTCCTCTCTGAATAATATAAAATGTTTATTTATTACGGAAGAACTGGTTATATTTTTTGCTTGCAAATTATGTCATGAAGTAGTAAACTAGTGGTAATGCTCACTTGCTCAGTCTGTCTGCATTATTGGTGGAGCCTTTTCTTTGGATGCTTTTGTCTGACAAATTTGAATCCAGTCACGTAGCTTCTCAATTTCTTGTTTTTATTATCTCTCTAAGGGATAGCTGATAGGAACATTCATGGGTATTTCATCACGATTTTGTACTGATGAACATAAAAGTTCCGTATATGGCCTGGCAAGTTTTTAACATCCATGTTGATTTGATGACCCTTATACAGTAGTACTGCACCCTTTAGTATTAGATTTGATTTTGTTGGCATTTATAATTGGTAGAGTTGGGTAATGTGCACTCTTCAGTCTATATTGCACTTGCTATTTTATGTGTGCTAGTAAGTCCTAGCGTATTTACTGTTGTTCATTTTGTTGGCAGGAAGGTACTTGCTTAGAAGGTCAAGACCTAAATGTCACTGCTGCAAGTGTGGCAGACCAGGAAACGGCTCTTGAGACGGACAACTTATCATCTCCTATTGCAATATTAAATCAAGAAAATTATTCTGGAACAGAACCATTTACTCAATTCCCGAGTTATGCTTTAGATCAACATGGTGAACAAGCATCTGCTCCGAATGCACTGTTTCATGGGAAATTATGTTATGGATCGAATGTTAAGCGTGGTAGGATATATAAAAGTTATGATCCAAAGGGACATTTGCTGCCTGGTGCTGCTATTTCAATGCCAGTATTCGAGAGATTTGATGTTCCTGGCCAATTTGACAGCCCAATTATCGGAAAAAGGTCATTTGAGTCCCTTCACGATTCTTGCCAATTAGGCACCATCAGCTCAGGTCCTCCAAACAAGTATAATACCAACACAGCGAGTAGTTTGCATCAGCTATTGACAACTATGTCACCAAGAAACAGTCGCGGCATTATGGACTCTTTCGGATATGGATCGGAACTTGATTCGTTTTTCATTTCTGATGACGTAGCCTCGTGCTCTTCAAATGCCAGCAGCAGACAAGAGATTAATGAAACTCCATTGACTCCATCAGTTGAAAAATATAGCCTCCAGAAAATTTCATTAAGACCTGGATCTGGTTCAGAACATATGGGTTCTATTCCTGAACTTAAAATCTTCCGAATTGATGAAGATAACAGCATTCTGGAAGAAGATGAATACCAAGACATGGCTCCTGGATCTGTGGATGTGAATTACTCATGCCAGCGGCCCTCTGAGAGAACAGCACTTCAGGATATTACTGGATTATGTCAAAACAATGGAAATTCTCCGTCTCTTTCGATGAGATGCATGGATAAAGGTAACAGCATAGGCTTTAGTGCAGAATCTGTCAGTAGTGAGCTCACTCATCATTCAAATATAAAAAATGATAGCATTAAGCGAAAATACAATCATCCTACTTCAGTTAAGAGAGAAGGGAAAGCATCCCGTTCTCTTCATGGCAGATTAGGTACGACAGAAATAATCAGTAGCACAAATGGAAGACACAGGAGTGAAGCAAATGTTGACAAACAAGGCATGGCAGAACTAAAGAGCAGAAATGGAAGACACAGGAGTGAAGCCAATGTTGATAGACAATCTAAGCCTAGCAACATTGTTGCCAATGTGACATCTTTTGTACCTCTGGTAAAACAAAAGTTGCAATCTACAACAGTGTGCGGTAAGAGTATCTGTTTAATTGCATTACTTATTTCGAACTATATGCTAAATCTACAAATGTTCGATGGTGCTCATAAATGGCTGCTACAACTGGGGTTGCTGTCTTGCAGTTAAAAAAGATGTCAAGGTGAAGGCACTTAAGGCAGCTGAAGCTGCAAAACGTCTTGAAGAGAAGAAACAAAAAGAGCAAGAAAAACGCAAAGCGGCTGCAAAAGCAGAGCGTGAAAGACTGAAGCAAGAGAAGGAATTAAAACAAAAACTTGAAGAGGAGCAAAAGAAGAAACGAGAACTTGATGCGGCCGCTAAGAAGCGGCAGAGGGAAGAAGGAGAAAAGCGGGAAACAATGAAAAAAAGAAAATGCATGGATGAAGCTCGAAAGCAACAGAAGCAGCCTATGGAAAAACAACGAGGCATGAAGGATGAGAAAGACGCTCGTCAAAAAGCTTCTGTGAGTATAAGCTATATATATCTTATGTCTACCTTCCCCCTCCGCAAACAGTACTCTGTTTAGAAAATATATGTTATTTTTGTAATTTGAGTGGCAAAACTCTCAGATGGATCATATGAAATTTGTAATAGTATTAGATATGCATAGGGCTTTCAAAGAAGGGGAGCCTTGGCGCAGTGGTAAAGCTGCTGCCTTGTGACCATGAGGTCATGGGTTCAAGTCCTGGAAACAGCCTCTTACAGAAATGTAGGGAAAGGCTGCGTACTATAGACCCAAGTGGTCGGACCCTTCCCTGGACCCTGCGCAAGCGGGAGCTACATGCACCAGGTTGCCCTTTTTTATAGGGCTTTCAAAATATATGGTTCCCAAGCGTCATCTGATATATTCTCGAACATAGGGGTATTTGTTTTTTAATATTTAAAATCATGGCAGGATAATATGGAGCCAAGGAAGAATTTGGTCGATGTAGGCAAAAACCAAGTTAAATCTGACGAGACTACTGAACATGCCCTTCGATACAAGGCCAATGAAAGTAAGGATGAGAAAGGTGTTGCAGTAGATGACAGGAATGCAAGTTTTGGATCTGATGCTAAGGAAAATATCCTGAACAGTCTTGAGGAGGTATGCCTTTTTATTTAACTTCATCATGCAGAATGTTGTCTTCTGTAAATCTGCACATGTTGATACTACTCATTCATCTTTGATATTGATCCATGACTGATATGTTACATGCTTGCAAATAATAACAGTATTACAAGTCAATATACTCGTATACAGATATAATAATGGAAGTCTTTTGAAATGATCACATGATAGTGGCTTCTACGCCATAATGCAGGCTCATCAGTTTGTTATTAACATGAATAAGAGAAAACTTTGGAAGACATGAGTAACAGTACCCTAATTTTTTTTCTCTCCATTTGAGGCTATAGTTCTTAGAAAGCGGCAAAATTGTTAGAATGTACAAACATCTGTAGCATCATTGCAGTTGGGATAAAGCAAAAATAGGTTGTCAATCTGAGGTGTTTTGATTTCTCGTTTGACTTTAGTATAAGTTTGTATGCTTTTCATTGATTTCACTCTAGTATCAGCAAGCACTCTAATTTTTGAATCCTCTGCTCTGATGTTAATGAAACTTTTGCCAGTCCTACACAATGACTCCGTATAAAGATTCTGATGATGAGGATGATGATGATTATGACGAACATGAACAAGAAGCAAGGCGCAGAAGGAAACTTGTTCCTTCTTGGGCTCGGTACGTGAACTGACTATGGAATTTTGCACATAAATTGACAGCAGGATTCTCTGTTTTAATACTGATAAGCACTTCGATGTGAACGACAAACTGAAAGTATCTTCTGCTGTGGTCCTTCAGTAAATGGCGTGCTACCGTTTGCTAACCTTTTCTTTTTCTGGATATAAAATTTTGGGGGTTTCCATTTCGCTTGGTATTGCATATTAACTCAAGCCTATTAATCACACTGTCTTCATGTTCAATTTGCAGAAAAGAAAACTTGGATAATATCTTACTATCCAATAAAACATTAGACGCTAGAGAAATTTTTGCACGGAAGCTGTCCTTCAACATACCTGAAGGTAATGTCCATTTCATTGTTGCTTTTTTGTCAACAAATCTACTCCTATAATTGCTAGTGCTGACCTTGTTGCCTCCTTCCTACCTGTTGCGTGCAGTCCTTTCGGCGGCCGTTCCGCAGCGCGGCTTAAGATAGCCTTCCATTCCATTTGATGAAGTAGTGGTAATATGTCAATGTAGTAGTTCTTCTGGCCTCCGTTTCGCCCTTGGCAGTCAGTGATGTGTATAAGCTGACCAGCAATCTCTTTTGTAACCTGTAAGCTAGGAATGATCTATGTAGGAGAACACTGCTGTACCACTTGACTACTTAGCTAGCATCGATCATTGCTTGGCAAAGTTATAGTTTGTTTATAACGGCTTCCGTCACATTATTTTTTGACGGGGATTGAGTATGATGTATCAGAGTGGCAACATTTGTATGTATTAATCAAGGTCTCATGAGTAGCAGGAAAGTGAGCTCTTTTGTCCGATGAGTACAGTTGGACTGTTTTGTAGTGGAAATTCCATTTCATTTGTGTAGTTGGTGTCAAGTGTAACAGAAAAGTGGGTATCAGCTGCAAGCGTAGTGAAGATGGAATTTGATACGGCTATAGAGAAATAATCAAGAACTAGTACAGTCAAGTCAAAGTGAAGGAATGGATGGGAGGGAGTACAATACATGCAGGGAAGACGCGGCCATGACAGAGAGCAGCCCTCGCAGCAGTGACAGAACGGTTCTGTCGCTGGTGCTGGGTTGTTGTGCTTTCTCTCATGATGGCTTCACCTAATATTAGAGAGAATCGTCATATCCGCATTTTAAACAATCGTTACATAATTAAAAGAAGTCAGTCTTTTGTTGCTGCCTTTACTCTTTCCTAAGACAGAAATATCCTACTGTTGGTAACGAGTATTATTTCCTCTTTGACGGATTTTCAGGTAAGCTCGTTTGGACTCGTTTTAAACTTTTTTTTTTCGAGGGGACCGCTAGAGAGATTTTTTTTAGGCGAACCGCTAAATAGAATTTGTACGAGGCCTCAATTTGTATTGAGTGTATAGGCGTCAGAGAGAACAAAGTTCAACAGGGCTTCCACGAGGCCCGACCCAGGCCCATATTCATATTATCCTCTTCCGTCGCCTTCGTTCCCCCTCGTCTCCCTGTACCCTGTCCCTCCACTCCGCTCTCCGCTCCCTCCAAAACCCCAGCAGAATGGAGGCGAAGGCGCTCCCCCTCACGCACTTCCGCGCGCGGGCGGGCTCGCCGCTCCTCCTCTCCGCGGACGCCAGCTCCGCCGCGCGCAAGGGCTCCGGCGCGCCAGGTACCCCGCATTCCTCCATGGTATCGCAGGCTGTTCCGCTCGGGGCTAATCGGGGGATTGTTTCGCCGCGTGTGTTTTGGGCAGGGAGGAGCATGGCCTCGAGGTACGACGCGGGAGCGCCTCCGAGCAGAGCAGGTACAGTGGCGGAGCCGATGTTGCAGCTTAATTTTGCGGTTTGTTTGGTCGGTTATCGCTGTTGTCTGATCCAAATCTCCTGTGTACTAATGTACTTCATCTTTATTTTAAGCTGATTGTCTGATCCAAATCTCCTGTGTTTTTTAGGGATGAATGGAGTTCCAAAGCTTAATCCCAAATTCTCCACCAAAAGAGCAGGTGAAGAGCGCTGCTTGAAATTATGTAGCTAAGTTGCTCACTTTAACCGATTTTCCGTGTTTACGCAGGGACAAGTAAGGTTCCAATTATTAATTTCGAGGTTTCTCATCACAGAGCAGGTAAAATGTCAATCTAATGTTTTTTTACTTTGCTAATCATATTTCCCTTACTTGTATGAATCTCTAGCGATGATCTAATTTATTGGAATTATTTTAATCATGATTCATATTGTTTGTGTTGTTGGAGCAGTTGCAGCGGTGAGGTTGCTAAGAGCTGATAAGGGGAAGGCGTTTGTTGATCTTTTAAATGAGAAAGCAAACGATTCTGGGGAAAATGAGATGGGCTATGTAGAGAGGACGTTAGGGTTCAGTACACGGCATTTGGATGACAGGGATATACGATTGGTAAAATTCATATATTTCACATGTTGGAATGTTTGTTCTGTCTATGAATTTCAGTTGTTTAGGGGCACTTACACTATGTTGGGTTATTGCTGGGAAGTAGGAATATAATGCTGTGAGAGAAACAGCACTTTTGTTGCATCAATGTAATGATCTTATTTGTATTCGATGAACATATAGCTAACTAGTTGTCAGTTTTGTTTCTTCATTTTCTTTATCATTCTACCTGTGATATAGAGTGTCATGATGAACATATTGCACAAATGGCTCAGCAACACTGTAAAAGTACAAAACACCTAAGATGGCTTGTCTATGCCTGCATAGGAATTCAAACCTTCTGATTCTCTTATGGTTGGATTGTTAGGTTACTGTCATAGTAGCTGGAACTGTACGTTGGAAACGCTACATTGATTATCTTATCATGTCACTCTGTAGTGAAGAGAAGGTGTTCAGCAATATGGAACCGCTGCTGCTGCAGGTTTGTCCTATTTTTCTTACAGCATATAATCTCAGAATACCCATTGAAATGTTTACTCCTGCTTGTAAAATATTAGAGTCTAACACTTCTGATTTCAGATATTGCGAATTGGCTTCTTTGAAATTCTCAAACTTAATGTACCAGCTTATGCTGTCGTTGATGAGGTATGTTGATAGTATTTAACATGTACTAGAATTAAGTTAGCCCTTCGTCTGGATTTTGGTTTACCAGAATGTTAAATGCGGCAACTGGTATCTCTTAATTAAAGTGATTTCCTTCCTATTTATTTAAGTTCCAAAGAAAAAATGTGGGCATGTGATACTGAGCTCTTTTCCTTGTCATTTCATAACACAAAAATTACATTAAACGCTGGATATAAATTATTACAACAATAGCCAGTATGCTACACCCGAACCCCAAAAAGGATGATGTGGTTATGTTCCTGATTTAATATCCTGAAGATCTACCTTGTTACTGTTCTTTGTTATATGGTGGTTTTCAAACTTGGTGTGTCCATTATTTGAGGTTGACATGTAGTATTGTATTATTGTTGTCAGTTCTACTAAAGTCTGAAGCCAATGTCACCAGGCAATATATTTGCTTTATTTTCAAAAGGAACCTGATAATGTGTCTTGCAAACCGAATTTTAGAATGTAAGGCTCGCGAAAGTAGCTTTAAGGCCCGGTGCTGGGAACATGGTGAATGCGATTCTGCGTAAACTTCTGTTACTGAAGGTAAAACCTGGTCTACTCAGACTAGTCAGTAGGGTTATGCTGTAAGCCTGTAACGTTATTGTGTTGCTTTTATAATCAGGAGACAGATTCTCTTCCTCTTCCAAAGATAGAAGGTGATGATCGTGCCCAAGCTCGTGCTCTTTCCATAATTTATTCTCATCCTGTTGTAAGTTTGCTCTACTTCCTAAGCTCTAGTTCTCATCTTGTTGTAAGTTTGCTTTACTTCCTAAACTTAGTTGACTTCTGTTTTAAAATTTTAAAGCGTCAAATGCCTCGCTCGTACAATCAATAGGTTTACTGCACCGTTGATAACATTCGAATTGAACCCATGCCTGTTATCAACCAATGTCCTTGTTAACTGGGGTAATGTACCTGTGGGGACTTAAATGTACTTGCTGTTTCTGACGTTTCTTAAGAGCATAATATAGGATTGGTAGACATGTTTTGTAAACTGTAATATGTTTTTTGCTCTGCAGTGGATGGTGAGAAGGTGGATTCGATTTCTTGGAAAAGATGAAGCTCTAAAATTGATGAATTGGAATAACAGTGACCCTTATTTCAGTTTAAGGTTTTAATTTTTAAGCGTGCTCTTCTGCGAATTGCAATTTACCTGCTCGGCTGCTCTGTTTATGTGTGTGTTTCTGATTGACTGATCTTTGTGCCATAGGGTGAATACAACAAATGGCTATACAAGGGATGATCTTGTTAACCGATTGGAAGATTTGCAGGTACTTACATTAATTCTTCGTACCTGAGTTCCATCCAATTTATGGCTACGGTAGGAAAAATATAAGAGCGATGCTATTTAGCTACATAGGATTTATCCAATTTAGTAGTCATGTTGGGGTCATACTCTGCCTTGATTATTTGCATTTGGGTTTTATCACTTGGTTTTCTTTTGTGTAGGTTCACTATGAAAAGTCAATTATGGACGAATTTGTTCGCATTCGTGAGGGCATGCAGGTAAGGAAGCTGAACAGTTAGTTCCGTGATCACTGCACAACTGGTGTTTGCCAAACCAATGTGTTCTATTTATATCCTCTTAATTTCTTTTGGAACACAATATGTTTAGGATGCTTATAAATAACAGTTCAAAGTCTTCTAAATTGGATGTGGACAATAAGATACCACACTTGATTTCAGTCCAAGGAAGCGAGACGCCGGGAGCTAGTAAAAATGAATGTTTAAGAAATAAAACTAAATACTGCATTTCGATACTATTAGCTAGAAAGGAAAGGATAGCGCTATACTTCTGGTGTCTTTAGATATTATTTTGATGCTATTGCTATGGAGCACAAAGCACTATAATCCAGCATGCATTTCATTTTAGAACATTTAGTATTTTATAATACAAGTTCATTTATATTCAAGTAACCTGTGCAGCATTTGTGGGCGCACAATTTCCCCAATTCGCCCTTAATCCATAAGAAACTCTAGTGATTTTTTGGTTGCATTATTGCATTAGGTCTGCACCTTTTCTTATAATGCCTCTCAAGATACTGGCTGGTATCTTGATAGCTTAATTTCTTCCTTGCAGGCAGTCTTACAAGCTGGATTACTGAAAGAAGGCATGTGTGCCGTGCAGGATGAGAGTGCAGGCAAGTCGTGAACATTACTTGTTGACCACCTTTTATTTATTATAAATGGGATTATGATATTCAAATGATTTCACTATGACTACATGCTAATGTAGAAAGAACTATTCACTATTATGCTTTATACTCCATTACGTTAAGTATTTACCCTTTTTCCTTATACGGTTCCAAGTCTTGGTAACAACAGCAAGTTTCATTGAAGATCGCTATAGATAACCCGCACTAAGATTTACAGAACCTATTGCAGGTTTTGTTGTGTCTGTCGTCGATCCACAACCTGGGGAAACAATCATGGATTGTTGCGCTGCACCTGGCGGGAAGACTTTCTTCATGGCATCCCGGCTGGCAGGACAAGGTGAGAGATTGGAATGAGGGAGTTCAATTTCTGTTGATATTGCAACTGGAGAACTGTGGGACCTTGTGCTAGTGTCTATCTTTTCCTTTCTGGCCATGCATCTATAATGTGTTTTGTTAGTATGCTATGATTTTTGCAAAAAACTTGTGAGCAAAATGCTCAAATGAATCACTTTTCATGTGTTATTCCTGACAGCCTGCTCGGGGTGCTATGCACCGCCGGCATAATCGGTTGTTATGACCTAGTAACGTGTGCCAGTGGCTGCCATTGTTAGCTTAATTTGTCAGATATAAATCAACCAATGTATTACATTTATGTCCTTCAAATGTAGCATCTGATGCTATTTAATATGTAGCATCTGATGCTATTGAAAGGTTAGCCGGTATAAAAATTCTTCACCTTTCATCTCCACTGAAAACTAGCATTTGTGAACGTATACATTCAACACTGACTAGAAAATAGTACTTACAGGTCCAGAATAATTAAGTTTTACCAGATCTGATCTTGTTAACACATTATGTCATCGATGCGGAGCGAGCTTCTAAGTCTGGAATACATAGTATACTTGGCTTGATGATGTGCTATTATACAGGGAAGGTATCGGCTCTTGACATAAACAAAGGCCGCTTGCGAATTCTCATGGAGGCAGCAAAATGCCACAATCTTGATGATATAATCACTGATATCCATGGTGATCTTCGACTATATGCTGTAAGTTTCCAAGAAACTTCATAATTACTAGTCCATGAAAAGCCTTAAAAAGAAAGAGGAAGTCCCGTATATCCAAGAATAATGCACCGCCAGTGGAAATATTTATCAGGAATATGCCTTGCGGACTTATGAAGCTTATGCACATGACACGTACACTTGTATTGCAGAAGGAAAGCACTGCCACATATGATAAGGTATTGTTGGATGCTCCATGCTCTGGGCTGGGAGTCCTTTCCAAGGTAGCTCTCTTTATAAAGTTCACTGTTTTCGAGAACTTCGCCATCACAGAGCGTTGTACTGATCCGAATCTGGAGTTACAAGTTGGCAAATTTTGTGATGAACTGAAGTCACCTTTTCTGTTCCCAAGAGGGCAGACTTGCGTTGGAATCGGCAATTTGAAGATCTGGAGGAGTTGGTGTGTTTGCAAGATGAGCTCCTTGATTCGGCGTCGTTGTGAGATTCTTGCTGTTACAAGTTTTTAAAATTTTGTGCAAGCAAATTCATCTTGACAGCATCTAAGATTACTTTCAATGACTTCACTTGCAGGTTGGTAAAACCTGGTGGTATACTAATATACAGTACATGTTCCATTGACCATGAAGAAAATGAGAACCGGGTTACTGCTTTTGTTCAGAGGCATCCGGTATGAGTTCATATTTAAATTATGCATCGATCCTTCACAAAAGATACAAACTCAATATCCTTAACAAAAGATACAAACTCAATATTCAATTGATCTAGGCAATATGTCTGTCCTTACAATTTGGGGTCCTGTTGGTAACTTGGTACTATTAAGCATGTACATTGTTTCTCCCCAAGTATTATTATCACCAAAATTCTACTCCCTCCGGACACGACAATAATTATGGAACGGAGGGAGTAGTTGTCTTTTAGTCATAGCATGAACTGAATTTTAATCCTTATCCAGCAACTTTGCTGTCGTTCCCACTTTATGTTAGCCCTCAGTTCAGATTTAACAATGATATAGCTGCACATTTAACTCTCCGATAAAGTTTACACATTAAGCGTGCTGTAACACTTGTTTTATGTGTAACTGAACAATCTATTATCATTTCTGCAACCTTACTGGTTGGTTATGTTCACTGTCCGTCAAATCAGTTCTACGTATATACAATCAAAAGAATGCAATGAAATATTTTATGTTCTTTTCTTACTCAGTGATTATTGCATGTTAGACAACATTCACTGACATCTAATCATGTTTTATATTCATTTTACTATGATATGCTACAGGAGTTTACCCCACAGGGTGTACAAGGATTTGTTCCTGCAGAATTCATCACAGATGATGGTTTCTATTCCTCAAGTCCAACTAAGCACTCTCTGGATGGGGCATTTGCTGCTCGTCTTGTCCGGTCAATGCACTAGGACTCCTACAATTAGGTGAGCATAGGAAGAACCAAAAACCAAATATATTTTCTAATGTTTATATGAACTGAATTCCCCCCTTCAAGATGTTTATCTGACACATGCTGTAAAAATTCTCTTTCCTCTCACAGTTTCTTAGAAGAGGGTAGTCTTCTGCACTCTGTGGTCCATCTTGCTTCTTGGACTGCATGCAGTAAGTTGTATAGTAGACAGTAATGCTGAGGTCATCCTTATAGGCACGCTCCATCATTTTGATGTTGAGTGCCACAATAATGTGTGTTGTGAGCTAGATATACCTGGAGTTGTACCTGCTGGATACGTCAGCATGTGTATTAGGTAGGCCCTAGTGAAATTGTCTGATAAAGTATGTTTGTTATGTATTATTATGTCTTGTGCAGTACCAAGTGATGATCTCAAGGTAGATGATCATACATAGAAGTACGTCTAGAAATTTATCAGGTGAAGTGTACTTCAAGAGAACCATAGTTCCATAAATATATGCTACTTTGTTGGACATCAATGCCTCTTGTAGGACCTTACACTATTGGTACCAGCAGGGCCAACATCGCAAAGCTAATAGAAGCTAATGTAACTGAGAACGGCATTCTGCCTTTGTCCTTCCTCACGAACATTGCTTCATAGAATGGAATATTGGTGATCACTAGCATTCCACACAGAATGAGCTGGGGGGAAAATACATTCAAGAGTATATTCCAGCCACCTGTCAGAATTTGACTAAGCCCTCCGACTAGACAAATAAGGTTGAGTAATGCGACAGTTGCAATGATCACATATTCTGGAGCTGATGAGCCGAATTCCATGATTTCTTGCTCGTATCTCTTGGATTCGTTTTCTTCACTTACCTTCGATGTAACTGCAAATGTCATCTTCGACAGTCCTAGTAACTTCCGGACAGTGTCAGTCAAGCCATACAGATATGAGGTTATTCTTCTGACCATCCACATCCTTTGTTCATTCCACCATCCTTTTAATGTGTCTCCACATGATAATGCCTCATACAGGCTATACATATTCTTCACACATACGACATATATGAATGGTGATATCCATGGACTCGTAATCTGCATGACACAGGAGGATCGTATTAGTTGTAATAGAAAGCATATGAAACTAAACTGAGGCTTTTCCTATTCTGAATCATTACCTCTGGGAACAAGGAGATGCCTTTAAGGAGAGCTAGTGAAGGAATGATGACATAATATAGTGTTGGGATTGAATTGGGTGCCCATAATCCATAGATCGAGTAGCCCATTTGATGCCGTAACTTGATTTTTCCATGCCCAAACATGAAGGGGCAGTACTTTGAAAGAAAAATCGAGAAGCTACCCTCGCTCCATCTTTTGTGTTGCAGTAGTGTCTGAGCAAGTGTTGTTGGAGCTACACCCAGAAATGCTGGTCTTGGAGGATTGCTGTGGACTGACTTCCATCCTCTGCAATGTATTTCCAGTCCTGTGACTATATCCTCTGCTGGGTAACCATATTTGATCCCAATCTCATCTCCCCACTGTGTGTCATGTTCATAAGTGGAGGCTGCTAAAGACTTCGCTTTCTCTTCAATCTCATCTATGCTCTCTTGTGTTTTGTCTTTGATTCCTCCGTCCCAGTCCTCCTTGTAGTCTTTGGTGAACCTCCTTCCGCAAAGGATCTCCCTTCTGTGGAAACATCCAGTGCCAACATACATAGGGCCACCCACACTGTCCATACCACCCATCAGCACCTTTAGATTGAGTAGCTATGTTAGTGGTAGAACATACATGCATAATGATTGCTCATATTATGAAGAACATGAGAACGCAACTGAAGTTATAGTTTGACATCGCTGACCTGATTGGTTACTTGGTGGGAGTTCCCATATATATTATTCTTGGTCAAATTGTTATAGTTCTGGGGGAATTGCACAAATCCAATCTTGTGACCCATTTCTTCATCAAGGAAGAAGCACAATGCATCTCTGATTGTATCGTAATTGTTGGAATACATATCACAGTCCACATTCATGATGATAGGGCTGTTGCTTATCACTGATGACACTCTTATCTGCATTTTAATAGAAAATTTGTCACATTTAGAAAAATTCATTATGATCATAGAATTCCAACCTTTCATGGAACACTTGTGAATAAGTTCTTTTTCATTTCACGCTCTATTTTGTGCCTTGGTTTTCGTTTGCTACTTTGCTTGTTTTTGTTGTTGGACGAAGCCATCTTGGCAATTCTTGTAACACAAATGACGTGCAATTGGGTGCGCTTTCAAGAAAAAATGTCTAGCGGTAGGGAACAAGTTATTATTTATATCTAAAACCAACATATTTTAAGCTCACATTCATTGCATGTATTTCACAAAATGCTACTAAAGAAGTGGAGAGTTTTGCACTCCCTCAACTCTACAGACAATCCAATGACACAAAATGAATTATTAGGGTGTGAACTCCATGGTACAATTTTCTCAAAGGACAAGAAATTGCATGACAACATTTTGCTAATTTGGTTACTCTTGCAAACATTACTGTTTACTAAAAACTTCAAAATTATGAATTAGAATATGTTGCAACTAATATGCTGCTAAGAATCAGTATAAGAAAACGGGCTAATGAAAACTATAAAATTTACAATAAATTTTATGCTTAGTATGATGGGGCAAGATTATTGAGTGCACCAGAGCATTCATTGCCCCAGCTTTGAAATTATGGTGGTGCTGAGGTCGCTTCTCCCGTGCCATGTACACAAGTGTTGGTAACACATTTCCTTCGTCATCATTTGCATTTTTGTCTTTGCCCTCTATCAGAATCTAGCAAAAGAAAGAATTATATAACTTGAAACTCCCAAATAGCATGCAAGTTATTTACTCCAGAATCATGCAAACCTTTACTCAAATTTGGAGGGCAGGAAAGCTACCTGAACAATTGGCTGGTGATTTTTTGAGGTATTTTCTTGGTCCCATTCATGAAATCCTTTATGATTTTCTTTGACTTCCTCCGAAATTTTACCTGACAAAGCAGCTGTATCAATTCGCTCAGTCATATCTTCATACATCTCCTGCCCAAAAATGAAAAAGAAGTCAGTTGTCATGCCAAATGCTGAGCACTACGGGTAGGCTGCACTTAACATTAAGCATCTTATCTAGTCACATGTGTGTGCCATGCCATTCCCTGTTCAATAGCCATTTGATTACATGTGTTAAAGAAAATATGTTTGGAAAATCTGCTTACCCTGATAAGTGACCACTCCTTTGGGGTGCACATATCTTGATGCCCATCTGACTCTGAGAAGTAAGTGGCTGGTGACCTTGGCTCAATGTTATATCTCTTGCAGAATGGTATCCAATGCTTTGCAAACAAGGAGGCCTCCCACAGAGCATAGAAAGTGAGAATCGAACCTCCGTCGTCAGAAAGGTACACACTAATTTTTTCGGCTGGGTAATTGTATGCCATGAGCGATAGGACGGTGGAGATGACAAGACTCGGTGGCTCTGAGTGTGGATCTGCGGTGCATACAAAGATATCCACACAAGGTAGCCTCTCTCCATACCTTCTCCAAATGACATAGTAACTGTGTTAATGCTCAGTGCGGGAAATACATGTTTTAAAGCAGTAGAACCTTACACTTGACACTCTTATAAACCTTCAAAACAAGTCCCTACTTTGGATCTTGTTTTGGCAGAAATGAGTCTGAAGTACTCACTCCCTGGTTCATGGGTTGAGCGTTTAAGGGTGTCTCGAAATCTAAACAGATGATGGAGATGGAGCCTTTAAACCACAAAAATAATAATATTGATATAGGTCCCTTACACCCTTAAACCTCAGTGCAGAAATGTGTCTCGAAATCTAAACAGATGATGGAGATGGACCCTTTAAACCGCAAAAATAGTAATATTGATATAAGTCCTTTAAACCACCACTTTTCTTTTCTTGAGATAAGCTCTTTAAACCGGAAAGGAGGGAGTATCTACCTTCTTTTCTATAGAAAAGGCCTCTCAGTCTAGCTTATTTATTTACCTTCTAAGTTAGTGATCTCTGATCATCAACGTAAGCCCTTTGGCGTTGATAACGTCTTATCTTGCAATTATAATTCTAAACAATCTGACCATTTGCTTTAACCCTTTGTACCATAGAATAGAAACCCTTGTGCTGCACTCAAAGTTTAAAAATCAAAAGCATCAAACTTTTGTCTAATTTGTTAACAGAAAGACAGTTCTGTTATCTGGCCCGCGTAGCTTTAAAGCTAGCCTAATGTAGATTCTCAGTGCACTTAGTGTTGTGTGGTTTGAAACTCAATAGGCTGCTATCTCGTTGAAGTACAACATATTAAGAAATAAGAGTAACGCAGAAGATAACTAAATTTAAACTGCAAAAATGTCTTACATTAAGCTCATACCTATACAAAACACCCGTTAGAAATTGCCCGCTGTGTTTTGTAAAATCTGGTACATTTCTTTTCTTGAATATATGGTTCATTATTGTGGGTTGTGACACTGGTCTCTTGTACCTAACTGAGTCCAAGAGCTTCATGAAAATCAGCCAACATACTGAAATATGCGGCATGTTCATAGCACCTATAGCAGACAGCCCGGACATGGCGCGGACATGAGAGAAGAAAAAATGTCATCCAACCGGACCCCATAAATTGACTCATATATCCAGGCAGTCACCGAATCCTCAAACTTAACCCATATATGAGAGAATATGAGGGTGTCCAGTTGTCTAGGCAGTCTGGCAATCATATGGATTAGACCAACTCCATCCCCACCAATCATATGGATTAGACCGAACAATTTGGGAGACATATTGCGTGCGCGGATAAAATGTGGGTTCAAAACAAACACGTCCGGACACTATCTGAACGCGTCCGCGAGCGTAAGAAAGGGGCAGATTTGACCATTGTGGTTGTATATGCTTTCATCGTTTATGCTAAAAAAAGCAAGCTCGCTGTTTACACTATTGAGTGGTGGCCATGGCATGTATGGTCACAAACTCACAGTCCGGGCGGTGTACAGGCTAACAAATAGCGTTACTGTCAGCTCCATCACCATCGCAGGACTAGTTTGGCTTTTAACAGTCTGTCTATATCAAAAATATACGCGTATAAAATCTGAAATTTTGGCAAAAAAAAAAACAGTTTTTGTCGTCACACAGCCGGAGCATACAGCCCCCGGACGTCGTGCGTACCTGGCGGCGAGCCTGTCCCTGCAGGGGCGGCGGTGGAGGGGGCTCCAGCGCACGGACTGCGTGACGACCCAGTAGGCGGCGTAACAGAGCTCCGCCGCCAGCATGCCCAGCCACGCCGCCCTCCCCTCGCCGGCGGCCGGCACGCGCGTCGCCCGGTAGTAGAGCAGCAGGAGGATCCCGGCGGCCACCGTGACGGCGTGGAGCCTGTACACCGCCCGGCCCCCGTGCGTCTCCGTCTCGAACAGCCTCCTGCTCCTCTCCATCTTCTAGTCTCGCCTGTCGCTCTCTCAGTCTTTTGTCAACTCCTGTAGATGATGGACAGGAGCACACGCATGTAGTGAGGGGCCTGTTCGGGAGGATCTCAACTCCTGTACTTGTAGTGGACAGCCGACCAGGTGGACGCGTGGACTTCCCCACCCCACACTCCACTGGTTTGGTGGACTGGATTGCCCGTCCCACTGCCCCACTCCACGTGCACACACATCCCCACATGGCAACACCCAGTGGTCCCGTAGGGCATCTCCAACACGACTCATCAAATCGCCTCGATCGGATGGTTCGGGCACTTTCAAACCTCTAAAAGCATCTCCACGCAGACACCCTCAAGCAATTCTTTTAGCACCGGCAGTAAAAAAAAGTCCCAGCCACGCCCTCAGGACGTCGTTTTGCGCCGGATTTGAACAAAACTAGGCCGGCGACCCCAAGCCAAACCCAGGGAGCCGGGGGTGCCGACGCTATTATTTGCATGCAACAGGGCCACTGTGAGCCTCACACTCCCTCTCTCCTCTCTCTCTCTCTCTTGCATGCAACATGCCCACCCATGTGCATGCCTCTCGCCCACTTCATCTCTTTTTCCTCTCATCTCTCTTGTCTTCTAGTGTTGGGTGGGGGCATGGCTGGAAAACTTTTCACCCCCATGCCAAAATTTCCGCCGGCATGACCCCAATCGGTTGAAAAAGTGGCTCCTGGGGGGGAGGGGGCAACGAGTGGAGATGCTCTAATGCGGACAAACATTTTAGGTTGGATTGGTTCGGACATTTGAAATCCCAATGCCGGCCCCAAATCGGGGCGGGAGAGTTTGGACATTTGCTGCCTCGGCGTCCGACAACTTGCGCTCACCCTTCCCATGTCTAGAGCCCTCGGCATTGATGCCGCTCACATTGACTTGTCGCCTACCTGCATTCAAGCCCGTTCGGCCTGTGCCGCTCGAGAAGCCCACTTCAGCTTTAAAGTCGGTCGACCTCCCCTCCCAAACCCTATCCTCACCCAGTCCTCCACATCTCCCAAATCTCCCAGTCCTCCACATCTCCCAAATCTGCCGCACACCGCACCTCCAATGGCCACCGCGATGGACAAGAAGATGCCTGAGGAAGATAACGAGCACACTCGGGCGTGGTGGTTGCTTGGCGGCTACCACTCAACACAGCCACCGCCACGCCAGGGCTCCAGATCCGAATGTGGCGCTATCCCCGGTCACCGGGTCCACTCAACGCAGCCACCGCCACGCCAGGGCTCCAGATCCGATATGCGGCGCTATCCCCGGTCACCGGGTCCGTCTTCGTCCACCGTGAAGGAGAAGCGGGTTGACAAGGAGGAGATCGACTTGGCCAAGCTCGCGACGAGGACTCGGCAGCCGCAGCCGCCCATGCCCTGCGGCGGCGACGGATGGCGAGTTCCAGCAGCACATGCGGATTGCACTGCGGAACTCGTTGAGTGACTAGGGTCTGGCGCTGTCATCTCCTCTATGCAACCATGGTGTCCAGATTAGACTCCGCGTGTAGTCATCCCTGTCGCCCCGATGCCTGGCCCCAATGAAGCAAGAGTCATCCCAGCCGAAGCCACGTAGCCGCCTTGACTACTATCTGAGCGGTAGTGGCTAGCGTTGCGCATCGTCCTTGTCGTCGAGGGTAGGGAGATGCCTCACCAAGGCGGAGGCACGTCTAGAGCGACACCGGGTGCAGCGCTTGGCGGTGTTCGCCAAGACTGACATGCTGCCGCCCTAGGTCCTTGCTGAGGCTTGGGCCTTCGATAGGTGCAAGACCATCGAGAAATGGTTGCCCACTGTCAGCGCCGTCTGAACTAGCAGCTCCTCTTGTCGAGCTGGTCGAGACCGAGCGCTCGATCCACCTCGAAGCCAACAAGAAGCGACCCAAGGTGGAAGAGGCTGCCGAGCGTTTGCGCTGGGAGCGCAACGCCCCGGCCGTGGACAGATATCGCGATGGCTGGAGTTGTATCCTCCACTGGCGCGACTACGCGACTCAATGACAACGGTGACTGCGGTGCCGGTGGGCTTGAAGGCCATGCCTAAGAGGTGGTCGTGTGCTACTTAGCCTAGTTTTAGTTTAGTTATGTTAAGTTAAATTTTGAGTAGTTTGGATGAAACCGTTAAATTTTATCTAATATGCACGTAATATATCGTATTATGTTTAATTTTGTGTGTGATTCGTGTTTGAAATGTTCGGACGAGGGAAATTATGAAGACAATTTTGTATGGCCGACGCCCAGCCAGATGTCCGCGGACACGTCAAATTGGTCATACGGTGCAATATACAACAGGTACCTTAAACCCATTCAACAAAACTAAGTGAGACAAAGATCTAAAAGCCACAGTGAGAACACTCAATGATTCGAACGTGATATGATGATCCAAATGGCTAGATCCTATGTATCCAGCTAATGGTCTGATCCTATACAAGTTGCCCCGTAAAATATGTTGTAAAGAAATCTCTAATATTCCGATTCACATAGATATGGTGATTTTGGGCACTGCACAATCTTCAACAAGTTACTTTCATAGTTAATATTCTTACAAATATGTTGGTAAGAAGATATAGAAAATAAAATGTATTGTGAAACTGTTTTCATTGGTACAACTTTGCTTAATTATTGTGAAGAGTTTCCTCTTAGTCAGTGCTCTCGTTGGCAAGATCTAAGAAATGACAGGATACAAGAGAGGGAGAGGTGGTTGAAAGGGGATCATGATTTGAGGCGGGCACAAGTGGGATGAGAAGGGGTTAGGTGCAGCATTGTGGATGAAAATAGAGGGTTCACGCAAAATGTCCATGTCCTGGCCACCTTGCTAAATCTGGACAACTCATTCTTTCAATGGTGCAGACGATTGGATCCTATGTATTCATGTGTCCACCTAAAGCCCTGATTTCGTACAAGTTGCTCCCATACTGGGATTTCGCTAGTGCTAGAGGAGATTGAGTTAGATCTGGCATTGATTGCATTGGTGTTCTTGACATTTCCTGTTTGGGTATTTTTATTTTCACAGGGGTAATTTGATCCATGGTTAATCCTGAGTCGAAGGGCTTATGCAAATTGCCTCTGCCCAACCCGGGGCTGCGCCACATATAAATACAATTGCCCATGAAACTATCAGAGCAAGTGTTCCAAGAGAACCATAAACCATACCAACTTGAGTACTTATTACACACTGATGCCTCTTGTGGGGCCTTAAACTATTGTTGCCAGTAAGGCCAACATCACAAAGCCAATAGAAGCTAGTGTAACTGGGAATGGTATTCTGCCTTTGTCCTTCCTCAGGAACATTGCTTCATAGAATGGGATACTGGTGATCACCACCATCCCACAGAGAATGAGCTGTGGAAAAAGTGCATCCAAGTGTTCATTCCATCCACCTTTCATGACTTTACTTAGCCCTCCCAGCAGGCACACAAGGTTGAGTAACGTGATAGTCCCGATGATCACATATTCTGGATCCGACGACCCGAATTCCATAATCTCTTGCTCATACCTCTTTGACTCGTCTTCATCGCTTACCTTCGGTGTAACCACAAAATTCATCTTTGACAGTCCAAGTAACTTCCGGAGATTGTCAAGGACTCCAAAGAGGTACGAGGTTATTCTTTTGACCAACCACATCCTCTGTCCATTCCACCATCCTTTTAGCGTGTCTCCAGATGATAGTGCCTCATTAGGCTGTACATGTTCTTCACGCAGAAGACATATACGAAGGGTGCGATCCATGGACTTGTAATCTGAACAACACATGAATATTACATCAGTTTTTTAATACAAAACATATATGTAACTAAGGTGAGGCCTTTCCATAGTATGAATCATTTACCTCTGGGAAAAGGGAGGTGCCTTTGAGGAGGGCCAGTGAAGGGATGATAACATAATATAGTGTAGCGAGCGAATTGGGTGCCCATAGTCCATAGATATGGTAGCCCATCTGATGCTGTAGCTTGGTTTTTCCATGCGCAAACAAGAAGACGTTGTACTTTGAAAGGAAAATCGAGAAGATACCCTCGCTCCATCGCTTGTGTTGCAGTATCGTCTGAGCAAGTGTTGTTGGACCTACACCCATAAACGCTGGTTTTTTAGGATTGTTGTAGACCGACTCCCATCCTCTGCAATGTATTGCGAATCCGGTGTTTACATCCTCCACCACGCAACCATATTTTACCCCAATCTCGTCTCCCCACTGCGTGCCGTGTTCATATGTGCAGGCTGCTAAAGACTTGGCTTTCTCTTCAGTCTCATCTATGCTCTCTTGTAATTTGTCCTTGATCCCTGCATTCCAGTCTTCTTGGTAGTCTTCGGTGAACTTCCTGCCGCAAAGGATCTCCCTTCTGTGGAAACATCCAGTGCCAATATACATAGGACCACCCAAACTGTCCATACCACCCATCTCCACCTTTTAAATTGAAGTAGCCATGTTAGTGTCAATAATATAATATGGAGAACATGAGAATTGTAAATGAGGTTACAATTTGGCACTACTGACCTCATTGATGACATGGAGGGAGTTCCCATATATGTTATTCTTGCTCAGATTGTTATAGTTCTGAGGGTACTGCACAAATCCGATCTTGTGACCCATTTCTTCATCAAGGAAGAAGCACAGTGCATCTCTGACCGCATCGTTGTTGTTGGAGTACATATCGCAGTCCACATTCATGATGATAGGGCTGTTGCTTATCACTGATGATACCCTTATCTGCATTTAAGTAGAAAAATTGACACATTTTAGTTTAAGTCCACAAAAGCATTACAACCTTTCATAGAATATAAAATTGTTATCTAATTCCCTCAAAAAGTTTGTCATCTAATTGGCCACGATAATTGAACACGACAACACCGATTCCATTCCAATAGGCTAAATTGGTGTGGCGTCAAGCTACTCTTAGTCTCTCACTGTCTCCTGCTTGGCGGAGGGCAAAAGAATGGAAACAGTGCATCACCGTGTGCTTTTTAGATGTATCAGCAAGTGTATACATTGGGTGTATGGTATTAGCTAACTTCTTTATAGCTTCTGAACATTCAAAAACCAAAAATTATCGAAATCATAGTAGGGAAACCTAACTGTCTTCCTAAAAAAACATAGAGGTGTATGCATGTGTATGCATATGATTTGTGATAACAAATATACGTTTGCACGCAGCATTGACAATTGTGTTTTGTATGCATCCATTGATATGGTGCCCATTTTGGATTTTACTCGATGTCTTTGGTGTCACTAGAAGATGAGTAGACATCATCTACTCAAATTTGTGTGTACATAAGCGTAGTCCGATTACAACTTGGATTTCAGTGCTGTCCAACAGACATTGATTTGATTGCATGGGCTACTCATATGAATGCATACCACACCTCGGAACTTGAGCGATGCGACAAGAGGTCTATGCTCCTTGTGTTTGTGTACCTTTATTAACATACGGTAAGTGACTAATGCGGCATCAACCAACTTTTTCTAATTGATTTTGGCACACATCTCGCTGCAACAGATCCACTGACAATAAGCCCAGGGACTATTTCCCTATTGAGGCTTTCTGACTGTACCAACATATTTTAAGCATACATTCACTGCATTTATATTTCATAAAAGACTGGAGAAGCGGAGGTTTTCTCAACTCTAATTCTCTCAACTACTTGGGGAAATTCTATTGTGGACTATTGATACAAAGAGGTGAAACTGAATGAAGAAAGCACAACACACCATTTTGTTACTCTTGTCCAGTAATACAGTTTATCAAAAACTTCAGATTATAAATTAGAATATGGTGCAGGTGCAACTAGTATTTCGCCAAGAATCAGTATTAGAAAATGAGTTTACTAATGAAAACTATGAAGCTTACAGTGAACTGTCTACTTAGTGTGAAGGGTAAGGTTAGTAAGTTTACCAGAGCATTCATGGCCCCAGCTTTGAAGTTATGGTGGTGTTGAGGCCTCTTCTCACGCGCCATGTAAACAAGTGTTGGTAGCACCTTTCCTTCATTATCAACTGCATTTTGGTCCTTGCCGTCTATCAGAATCTAACAAAAGAAACAAGTTTAGAACTTCAGACTCACAAATACCATACAAGTTATTTACTCCAAAATCATGGAAACCTTTACTCCATTCTGGAGGGCATGATAGGTACTCCCTCCGTCTGAAAATACTTGTCATCAAAATAGATAAAAAGAGATGTATCTATAACCAAAATATGTCTAGATACATCCTCTTTTATCCATTTTGATGACAAGTATTTCCGGACGGAGGGAGTACCTGAACAATTGGCTGGTGATTCTTTGAGGAGATTTCCTGGTTCCATTCATAAAACCCTTTATGCCTTGCTTTGATTTCTTCGGGAACTTTGCCCGACATGACAGCCGTGTCAATTCGCTCAGTCATTTTGTCAAACATGTCCTGCCCAAAAGATGAAATAGTATCAGTTGCCATGCCAAATGTCGAGCACTATATATAATAATCTTGTCATCACCAGTGTATGTCAATTTATTCCCTGTTCAATAGCCATTTGATGCACGTGTTTTAAAAACAAGAAGATGTTTGCAATATCTGCTTACCTTGATCAATGACCATTCTTTTGGGGTGCACAGTTCTTGATGCCCATCTGACTCTGAGAAGTAAGCGGCCGGTGACCTTGGCTCAATGTTATATCTCTTGCAGAATGGCAGCCAGTGCTTTGCAAACAAGGAGGCCTCCCACATGCCATACAAAGTGAGAATCGAGCCTCCGTCGTCAGAAAGGTACACGCTTAATTTCTCGGGCGGGTAATTGTACGCCATGAGCGATAGGATGGTGGAGACGACGAGGCTTGGTGGTTCCGAGTAGGGGTCCGCAGTGCACACAAAGATGTCCACACACGGTAGCCTTTCTCCGTGCCTTGTCCAAATGACAAATTAACCGTGTTAGTGCTGAGCATGACAAATAGTATGTGCATGTTTGGATGATGAAATATATGAAAACAGGTCCCTGGTAAGCTAGTTTTTAAATTCAATTTTGCTACCCGGGATATGCAAATTGCTCTGGTTTGCCATGATGGGACGGTGTTCCTATCAGCTGACGAGTCCCTGCCGGAGCTTGGACCAAACCAGACAACCGAACTGAAATTTAAATTCTGCAGCGTTGATTCCGATCCACTTGTTAAATGCATTTACTAGTACTCCCTCCGTCCCAAAATTCTTATCTTAGATTTATCTAGATATGGATGTATCCAACACTAAGTGATGAATAGATACATCCGTATGTAGACAAATCTAAGACAAAATTTTTGGGACGGAGGGAGTACATTTTAGGAGATCTTTTTGAATATGTATTTAGAGAGGGAGCTCTCTTTATCAAAAAGCAAAAACAAAAAAAGAAGAAGTCTTAACCAACTGCTCTTGTATCTCTCGTCGTAAGAAAGGGTGTGAAAAAATAATTAGTGTATATATATACGAGTATGTTGAGCATGGCAAGATTGTACGTATCTTGTTGTGCATGAAACTGATGAGACGTCACCTTCCCGTTACACACACAGTCCGTGCATTAGCTAAGATTGCTGGGTGTTGATGCTGGCGTGCCTGCCTCGGCGTGGTGCATGAGGCCAGGCCAGCAGTACAAATCGGAACACGCGGCGCGGTAGACGCACGCACGGTACGGTGTAGCCAGCCAGGGGCACTGGAGGCAACAACACTCGTGTGGCTACTGGTGGCCAGTGCAAGTGCAACTATGGCACGACAGCACACGTTTGTTCTGCCTTCATTGCCACTGAGAAGCTGACTAGGGGATGTAAATAGCAAATAAATGGTGTCCGCAAGTCCCAAGCTCTGTAGTTCATTTTTCCGGAAAAAAACAAAATTTTAAACTGTTAGCTTACATAGTGGGATTAAACAGGACCCGGTTGACATCTGAGGTTAGGTCCCCGTGCGCTGGACGCCATTGATCACTGCCGGTCTGGCTGACCGCTCCCTTGCTCCTGGCCGGTAGGCAAAGCTGTCCTGCCCAGACGGCGGCCCGTTGGCCGTTACACGCACGGACAAGTGCATGTGGGAGTGGGAGGGACGTGGTGGTTTCTTCTTCTTCTTCTTCATCAGATAAATGCAAAGGCAAAGGCAAGATGAGCAGCATGCACTCTGGTTACTACACAAGTCCTACGCACGACGACGACGACGTGTCACCTGAGCTAACGTACGGATTAGGCAACAACGTAGTGGTAGGAGTAAGCAAGGGCCGGGAAACACGTCCGTACGCCTGCGCGCAACTGCATCATCTCTTGTTTCGAAGAAGAAGAAAAGATGAGAGCTGTTTGACATATATATCTCTCGATCATGCAGCCGCGTCGTTCGGTCATAAGCCATGCATAGCGCGGACGGACGTGGTTCATACCTGGCGGCGAGCCTGTCGATGAAGGGGCGGCGGCGGACGGGGCTCCAGCGCACGGACTGCGTGACCACCCAGTAGGCGGCGTACCAGAGCTCCGCCGCCAGCATGCCCAGCCACGTCGCCCTCCCCTCGCCGGCGGCCGGCACGTGCGTCGCCCGGTAGTAGAGCACCAGGAGGATCCCGGCGGCCACCGTGACGGCGTGGAGCCTGTACGCCGCCCGGCCCCCGTGCGTCTCCGTCTCGAACAGCCTCCTGCTCCTCTCCATCTCGGCTCTCTCGCTCTCTCTATCGGCTGGCCGTCTCAAACTTTCCCGGGGACAGGAGAGGAGGTGCTGGGCACTGGGCAGGAGCGCGTATATATATATGCTCCCCGCGAGGAAGGGGGAGGCATGCATGATTCAGCACCGATACGCCCGGATACGCCTGGATACGCGTATCCTGCAGAATCCCATCCTTTTCGAATTATTAAAAAAAAGATATAAAATCGGGATACGGCCTAGATACGGTGCGGACCCGGCAGCCAACCTCCGGTGACCATGCTGCTGCCCAGTTCTACTCCCGATACCAACCATGATCGAGCAGGTAACCTCGATGGCTGCTAGCTAGTCAGGGTGTGCATTCGCTCTTTTCGGTTTGATTCGGTTCGGTTTACACGGTTTTTATACTTTGATTCATATGGTTTTATACATAGATACGGTCCGGTTTCGGTAATAATCAAAGTTGATGCGAATTTTTGAACAACGCATATTTTTTTATCGTCAGATTATTCAATGGGTGTATGTGGGTCTTTTTTTAGAACTGTACGTAGATTAAATCATTAGATGGCAAACATGATTTCTTTTTTGCATGGTAATACATGTCTCATTCATATCATAAAGATTAAAGTACAAATTATGTAAGGACTGACATGACAAAACTAAAAAGATAACAGAACATCTCTGAGCTTGACACCAACGCCCATCACCTGCCTCCGGCACCACGACAACAACCACCGAAGAAAAGAATGATGGATCACCTCCTCACCCGAGCTCGACGCGGCTCCATCGCAGATATGCAGCTTTGCGGATCTCCAAGATGGCTCACCAAAAGTGAAGCCCTTACCATTGAATGAATCAGACCGGGGCAACATCCCGGACACGCCATTAAACTCCAGATCTGACACCCCACCGAGACTAAGACGTCGCAGAAGGAAACCATATCTCCATCCACGAACCACGAATCCAACACATGTTTCGTCTTCCAGATGTCGTCGATGCAAACCACAATCTGCATCCGCTTCCGGACTACCTCCCAAGCTCCGCGCCGACACTGGAGCAAACACCGTCGCAATGGCGGAGCCCGAGGACACAGGTCCACCACAAGGATGCACCCGCCGCCACGCCATCCTTGTTTGAACAGACTGATTTCCAAATCCATCCCTAACCATAGGACCGATGACCTTTTCAAGGAAGAATCCGAAGAATCTTTATTCAGCGCTTCATCATCGCCGCCGAAGCAAAGACGATGAACAGCCTAAAAACCTAGACTACGAGGGAGTAAAAACGGTCCACATGCGTTGATCCGGCGACCCCCCTCACCACCGACGATCGAGGTCGTCGGCGGCTGGAAGATTGGGGAGCCGCCGGAGAACGGCGCTGGAAGATTGGGCTCTCCTGGCGGCGGCTAGGGTTCCAGCCGCCAGGGACAGGGCGGCGGCTAGGGTTTATACGGTTTTATACATAGATATGGTTTGGTTTCGGTAATAACCAAAGTTTTTTTATCAGATTATTCAATCTATGCATGTAGGTTAGTATTTTCTTTTGAGAACTGTGTACGTAGATTAAATCATTAGATGGCACGCATGATTTGGTGATATATGTACGTACGGTGGTGCACCAGTTTGAGCATATATGACTGATGAGGCATTGACAGAGATGTACGATATGAGCTTTCAGAAACGAAAGGAAAGCACACGGCAAGTGCGAAAGGCCAGTGCTCCGCCGGGTCTCCCCTCTCTCTCTCCTCCTTCCTCGCCGCCGCCCCCTCTCGCGTCGCCCCGCGTGCGACCGAGAGGGAACCCTAGCCGCCGCCGCTGGGTCTCCCCCTCTCTCTCCTCCTCCCTCGCCGCCGCCTGAGGGCACGGCCGGGCGAAGCCCGGCCGTCGCCGGCGGCGGCGGGGTTCCTCGTCTCCTCGCGCGGCGACTTCGGCGCGGGTTGCGGCGGCTGGTCGGGGACGCAGCGCTTGGCGACGGGCACGGCGGCGTGGCTGCTCATCGGCGTTGAGGTGCGGCGGCGGTGCAAGCTGGCGACGGGACATGCGGCGCGGTGGTGGCGCGCTCGTGCTGGCCGGGGATGGCGTGCGCGTCTCTGGCGGCGGCGCTCAGATCCGGTCGCCTCGAGGCGCGGTCGGGGGCGCACTAGGCTGCGGGCGGCCGCCCTCTGCCGTGTATGCTGGTGGGGGGTGGCGGCGCTGCAGTGCGGGTGCTGCAGGCCAGCGGGTGGTGATGGCGCGTCCGGATCTGCCCCTGACGCTGCGGGCTGCGGGTGGCCTGGGCCGCGGGCGGCCCTTTCGCCGGAGCATGATGGTGAGGGGGCGGCGCGGCAGCGGTGGAGGTGGGCGACCCTCGTCTAGGCGGGCCCTTGCGCCTGGACGGTGGCGCTCGGTGCGTGAGGGCCTCCCCGGTGAGCTTCCTTGGCTTCGGCGGCGGGTCGATTTGGTCTGCCTCCTCGGCGGGCGCGCGTTTGTAGATGGCCTCGCGGAGATATGCGCCAGCTATCATGGTAGGGCGTCATGGGGGTGCCCGCGGAGGAGCTAGGTAGGAGGGACGGGTGGCCTCGATGCGGTCGCGCCACCTGTCGCCGGCACAGTTTGCTGGTCCGGATGCGTCCGCTCCTTCTCCTCCTCCTTTCCTCGTGCTCGGCGGGGAGCTCGGTTGGAGGGATGGGTGGCCTCGATGCGGTCGCGCCACCTGTCGCCGGCACGGGATGTGCCGGTCCGGATTTGTCCGCTCCCCTTTCTCCCCTGTCCCTCGGCCGCAGACGGGTTGGCATAGGTCTTCCAGCGGAGTGTCTGCGGGTGAATCTGTCGATTGAGGGCCGTCGGTTGGTCCAAAGCCGGGGCCTTTGTGTAGGTCTCGGGGTTGTCTGGTTGCAGGGCGGTGGCTTTGGCGGCGGGAGGCGCGACGTTTGCGGGCGGAGCGTGCGTCTCAGGTGCGGGCGGGCATCCATGGCCTCGCGGGTGGCGTGGTTGCAGGTGGTTGGCGGAGTTAGGGTGCGACGGTGGAGTGTGGGCGTCGGGGTACACCACTTGCCCAGTCCTTTGACTGGCCGACGGTGGCGGCGGCAATTGACGCCGTACCCTTCCTGAAGGCTCCGTCGCGGCGTTCCCACTCTTACCGCCTTGCTCCGGGTGAAAACCTGATCTTCACGGATCGGGCGGTGGCGACTATACATGGTCGTACCCTTCTTGGAGGCATCGCTTTGGAGGCCTGGCTTCGTTGTTGTCCGGTTCACCTCTTTATTGTTGTCGGTGGGGTGGTGTGTCGGTGTCCGGCACCTTTGTATCTTGCCTTGGATGTGTATGTTGTGTGTGTTGTTCGGTCTATCGGTTGTAATCGAAGATGATGCTTTATAAAGCGGGGGAAAACCCTTTTTCGGTACTAGAAAAATATGAGGACAAAACACGGGAAAGCACAACATGCGCTAGCCTCCAAGTGTTTTTAAGTGGAAAAAAATATGCCACGAAACACCACATCGCTAGCCCGTAGGTTGTAGGGTCTATGCTCTTTTTTTCAGGGAAAAAGCATCCACGCTCCTGGTCCAAGCACCGTGCCAGCCTCCAACTCATGCGCTAGGCAGCCCAAGTGTCAGCCTCCAGATTACTCTGCGTTCGATTTATTAGGTTTACATGGTTCGGTTTATATAATTTTTTGGTTTATATGGTATTAATATTTTGGTAAATACGATATGAAATTAAAATATGATTCGGTTTCGGTATAAACTAAAATATTTCGGTATTCCCCGCAAAATATATATATATATTTCGGTATGGTTTTGATATATACCATAATAACACGTGAAATTGAAAATGACGTAATAATAGTTTGCAAATTTATGACTCAAAACACATACTGTTTTACACAGATAGTATATAACTATATATATAAGTATATATGCATGCATTGATTCATCTGTTGATGGTTATGGGAAGTGCTTAGCATTTTTAAAAGAGAAAAATGACTATGTTACAAGAAAAATTGCATGCTTAGTAGTGAAGTTGACTCATGTACAAGAAAAATGACAACTTGTATGGTTGTTCATCACAAGAAATATAAAATTATTTTTTACTTCGATTTATTCGTTTAATCGTTCGGTTTTTCGGTATATACCATAAAACCAAAGTTCAAATCGGTATGAAAAGTTCATACCATACCAAAACGATAAACCATAAAAGCCATAAATTTGGTTCGGTTTGGTTTATTTTCGGTATGATTTTTCGGTTCGGTTTTCAAATGCACAGAGTGACCTCCAGGTCGTGCGCCAGCCGCGTTGCACAATTTAGTACCACCTCGCGGAGCGACTAACAACGAGATGGGTGGATGGCTATAAGACGAGCGGTGACGGGAAGGATCAACTCAGCTCTTTGGTTGTTTAACACACATTGAAGCTAGCTTTGGTTAGTTCGGTTTAACCAAAAACCATTTGGTTTCTAACCGAAAAAACTGAATGTTAAACGGTTTTCATATTTGGGAACTGAACCTGAAACCTGAAAAAAAAATTCAAAATTTCAATTTGGTTCGGTTTTTAGTTTTCAGTTCGGTTTTGCACACCCTGAGTCAGAGTGTGCATTCCATTTTTCGGTTTGATTCGGTTCAGTTTATATGGGTTTTATACTTCGGTTTATATGGTTTTATACATAAATACGGTTCGGTTTTGGTAATAACCAAAATAACCACAGTTGGCGCGAACTTTTGGACGACACATTTTTTTATCAGATTATTCAATTTGTGCATGGTTAGTTTTTTTCTTTCGAGAACTGTGTATGTAGATTAAATCATTAGATGGCAGACATGATTTGGTGGCATATGTACGTACGGTGTGCGTCAGATCGAGCATATATGACTGATGAGGCGTTGACAGAGATCTCTACTCCTAATGAAGTAGTTGGTAGTCTCGCTTTCAGGTTTTTTTTCGTCCCATCTTCCATGGTTTTTTTTTGGTACCTCCTTCCACCTTCGCTGGTTTTTTTTCGTAGATTTTTTTTGTCCCCTTCCCCCACTTCATCGGT